TCTTTATGGGAATAAAATGTGGCAAGCTTTTAGCCTCAAAGACTGTCTCAGAGTCAAAGTTTAAGAAGTATTGCTCCAAATAATTTTTTAAAATATGCCTTATTAGAAGAGAAAATCTCAAATATTTTTGTACCAGCCTTTTGCTACAGAACAATGGGACAGAAAAAAGGTAGCTCACAAAATAAGGGAATATTTCTTGGCTGTTTTTTTTCTCTCTAAATTATTCTATATAGGTCCAGACAGATGGGTTATGTTTCCTTTCTATTAACTGAGGAGACAGAGATGAAAGGACTGGAGCATGTCATCACTGTCCTAGATGTACTGAAATCCTAGCAGCTTTAGCTGAAAAAATGTCCAAAGCAGGCCATGAAAATAAATTTAAATGACAAACTCCAAAATGATCTATGCTAGAATCCCAAGGCAGTCAGGGAAAGCTGGTTCCATGGAGGAAGGTAGTCAAAGAAATAAGAAGATGACCTAGACCCTCATCCAATATGTGTGATGTACTTGGGGAGAAAACAACCCCTTTCCTTTATTCATCTACATAGGTCTGTGAGCCATGAAAACACATCTCTCCATACCAAGCTCCTCAATACAAGACCTCTGACTGTATCATGTAAACCATTTTTCAGGGGCAGTCTAGAGAATCTGAAACGGTGAGCCTTTTTTTTTTTTTTTTTTTTTTTTGAGATGGAGTCTCACTCTGTTGCCCAGGCTGGAGTGCAGTGGCATGATCTTGGCTCACAGCAACCTCCACCTCCCAGGTTCAAGTGATTCTCCTGCCTCAGCCTTCAGAGTAGCTGAGATTATGGGTGTCTGTCACCACACCTGGCTAATTTTTGTATTTTTAGTAGAGATGGGGTTTCACCATGTTGGCCAGGCTGGTCTTGAACTCCTGAGCTTGAGTGATCTGCCCACCTCAGCCTCCCAAAGTATTGGGATTACAGGGATGAGCCACCATACCTGGCCATGAGCCTGTATCTTAAACTCTTGAGAATAATCTTGAAGAAGACTCCCTGGCAATGACGAATAACCAAGAATCAGGCAGACCTGGGTTTGAATTCTGGCTCTGTCACTTTCTGGTGAAGTGACTTGAGTAACAAACATGAACCTTTCTGGGTAGCATTTACAGCCCAAGGCAGTTTGAGGAATAAATGAGTATAGCGCCTAGCAGTGGGCTGGACACAGCACCTGATGGTGCTCAGCCATCATGATGTCACACCAGCACTGGCCAGTGAGCATAAACCCTGGGGATGCCCAGAAGTGGTACAGTCAGGAGCTCCAGAAGCATGGGATTCTCAGAGGGAAATGGAGGTCACTGCTCTAAAGGTCCTATTCAAGTTAGAAAGTAGGATACGATGCACACAAAGCCAAATTGTCATCATTCAGCTCCTATTACAGAGGAACTAAGAGCTGCATAGAAAATTACTTGCAAAGCTTGTAAGCAGCTCTGCCACTTAATAGCCATGTGAACCTAAGTAAATTACCCAGCATCTCTGAGTTTCAACTTCCTCATCTGCAAAATAGAAATGATAATAATATCCACATCACAGAGTTGTTGGAAAAATGAAAATGAGCTCTCATAGGAGGTAACATGTAGTGAACATTTATCATATGCCAAGCACTATTCTAAGAACTTCGGACATATTATCTCACTTGTATAAGCACTTAGGTGTCTAGAACATAAACAGCACCTAATAAATATAAGTGTTGAAAAACTGCTATGGGGCAGAGGAAGAAATGCTAAGCTTCTGCGAGAAGACAGCTTGTTACACAGGGGAGAAGAATAAATTGCAGTGAGAGAAGAAAAGTGTAAGAGTTGCCAGGTGTGACAATCTCAAGACTTTTCAACCATTATAAAAAGCCACCCTAAATCACCCCAAAGGACAGACCCGAGTTGTTCTTTTTGTCTTTAATGTTTATGCCTCTCTGTTCCAGTTCATACCAAAACGTGATGACAATACCCTCAACTGTGCAAACTTTTGTGCATCTACCGCTGTGTAAAGGAAGCTGATGTCAGCAGACTGGGGGGATCAACAAGGCATGTTTGTGACTGAAGCTCAATTTGCCATCACAGTGTGGCCGCACCTACATCACTGATATTCTAATAGTGGGATAAAGCCTGGATTTTCCTCTTATTCTCTCTTTGTGCTTACATTCTTGGCATGATATTGATGTGCCACAGACAAGCCAGCATGTGAGTGTGCTCTATCTGAATAAAGCATAGCCTTTCTACATTGCAAAGTCATCCAGTTTCTAAAATTATGGAGTTTGTATTGTTAGAACCAATGAAATGACGAAGAATTTTTAAAGATAAGCCATCAGACTAGACCTGTGTATGAAAATGAAGGAGAAGCACTTTAAAGTCAGGGAAAAAATATAAACATACTTAACATTTAGGATGATCAACCATTGCTGGTTTTCCATAAACCATTTCATTCATGATTTCATCTGTAAGAGATATGATTATTGCTACCATTCAGAGGGGGACTTTGATAGCTTCCTGGTCCTTCTTGCTTGGATGCCTTGCAAATAAATGCCCTCCTTTCCCCAATACAAACCCTTGATATAGCTGTTTGGCTTTACTGCGCTTGGGCCAGCAGAACCCAGTTAAGTCCACTAATAAGCTCTTGGTATGCCTTTGAGATGGATTTCAGATTCAAAATAGACTGATCCTACCACACTAACTTGGCCAGTCAGTATTTGTCAATAACATAGATGCTTCATTCAAGAAATTACTGGGTTGTAACTTTTGGAACCCAGGGGCGATTTCAGAATTTTGTGGGGTCTGAACCTTATCTAATGAAAACATAAAAAATCATGAATACAAAATTTGCCAGGCGCCCTCCCAGAACATTGGAAGGGGCCTGTGCAAGTGAGAAATCCTGAAGCTTAGGCTCTTTTCAATTCACCATCAATCCACCACAGCTGGGACCTCTTTTTTTTCTTCGAACTTATGTAATGCAGGAAGATACTTTCTTTCAACTTATAAACACCACAGAATGGTGCCTTATTGGTCATAAAGCTACTTGGCAATTTGCCTTTGGAACAAAATGCAATGGAGCTATATGTCACATATGCCAAATATGACTGCAATGTAGCTTTGTGTACTAGAAAAATTTGACTCCAAACAAAGGAGCCCAGCCCCCAACATACACTTGCTGTGTTGAGACCGTTGTGTCAATCTTTGAAAGTAACTGTGGCTTAGGTTTGAAGGGTACAGCCCTATTCTGTTTATATGAAATGAGTAGTAATTTCCAATATCAGCTAGCTCTGATTTTTCTCATCACCATGAAGCAAATGCCTTTTTCTGTTGTTTAAGATGAACACAGAAACTAGAGATAAGCCAGGTGCTGTCTCCTCGAGTCTTTCTTAACCCACCACCCATTCCTACTTTGTCCTCCCCTTGTCACCCTGCTGTACAGATTCCAGCATGGCTCTCCTATGTTTTCCCAAAAGCATCTGCTTCCTCTTTGAGGTATGAAAGTCCCCATCTTGGTGTGTCTTTGAGATGGATTTTGTACCCCCAGGACTCAGTACAGTACCTGGCACAAATGGACATGGCACTGAGTGAATGTTTTTGAGTGAGTTCATTCATTTTAATCAGCTGTGATTCCAGCGTTTTCTCGGTGTTGCCTACATAATTGTAGTGAAGCTGGCCAGATTATTATTTTTTTTGAGACCGAGTCGAACCCTGTTGCCCAGGCTGGAGTGCGATGGCATGATCTCGGCTCACTGCAACTTCTGCCTCCTGGGTTCAAGTGATTCTCCTGCCTTAGCCTCCTGAGTAGCTGGGATTACAGGCACCTGCCGCCACACCCAGCTAATTTTGTACTTTTAGTAAAGATGGGGTTTAACCATGTTGGTCAGGCTGGTCTTGAACTCCTGACCTTAGGTGATCCACCCACTTCAGTCTACCAAAGTGCTGGGATTACAGGCATGAGCCACTGCTCCTGGCTACCAGATTCTTATGAGGGACTCCCAGTGTTATAAAGTGCTTAGTAACGGTGGTGAGTTTAAGACATTTTATTAATGCTATCTACACCTCTTGGTGGAGTGACCTAATGAGCCTGTTCTCCAATGTGAGGGCAAAAGAAAAACAGACCCTCAGTGTCTTTTTCCTAAGTTAGGCATCAGCAAATTAAGGAGGACAGAGAGGAGCATCTGCAGAAACTGTTGCTCTAGTCAAGACACTTCCTGAACACCTCCCTCTACCTCAAAATGAACTGTGTGAAACTAGATTTCTGAAATACAAGAGAGGTGGAAAGTTCTTTCTAAAGTCAGATGTAAAGGAGAATCTTCACCTTGAGCCTAAAGCCCCCTTCAGGGCATTGAACATACCCACTCTGATTTGCCGGTTATGTTATACAGAGAAATCACAGAATTTTTGAGCTGCAAGGGAATAAAATTTGTATTTATGGTCAAAGAGTAGTCAGGAAAGTATATGGAATTAAGCTATGGTGATGTATTTTCTTTACAAATTGTTTTTTGCACCATAAATTAACATAAACACCATTTTGGCTGGGTGTGGTGGCTCACACCTGTAATCCCAACACTTTGGGAGGCTGAGGGGGGCGGATCACCTGAGGTCACAGGAGTTCAAGACTAGCCTGGTGGAGGTTGGAGGACAGTGGCACAATCTCGGCTCACTGCAATTTCCGACTGCTGGGTTCAAGCCATTCTCATGCCTCAGCCTCCCGAGTAGCTGGGATCACAGGAACATACCACTACATCCTGCTAATTTTTGTCTTTTTAGTAGAGACAGGTTTTGTCATGTTGGTCAGGCTGGTCTCAAACTCCTGTGACCTCAGGTGATCCAGCCGCCTCGGCCTCCCCAAGTGCTGGGATTACAGGTGTCAGCCACCATACCTGGCCCTACACTTTGGATTTAACTTTGATTCCTGCTCACATGCACAGTTTCTAACTGCTTAAATGTCTGCAACATTTAGCTACAAGGAAGGAAGCTTAACACAAAGTCCTCCAGGGAGCCACCACGCCTGTCAACAAGGCTAATTTGAGGGTCATTTGTTTGATGCCTTTTCTTGCCCATGCCAAAGGTCAGAGCTAGGAAAAGCAGAGCAAGTCATATATAAGCTATGTAAGTCTCTTGGCCTTTGTACTTTAGTTTCCCCATTTGAGAAAAACGAATGGATCTTAAGACATACTTTTCAGAGTTCGTAATGGGCTTATACCCAGCTAACCAATAATTGTATGAGGTTTTCACATGTAAATAGTTGTTTACACGTATTCATTTTCTATTTCACTTACAAATTGTGTAAAAACTGCATTCCATGCCAGGCCTGAAATGTTCCAAAGCTCAGTTCTGTGAGTAAATTGCAACCAAGATTTCTACAAAAAAAGACACAAGCCAAAGGAAAAAAAACATTATTTCAGAACATTTATTATTTGCCATGATTCTAATTTACATAGGATGGAACATAACCTCAATCCTTTTTCTGTGCACTAAAGAAATCTCACTGTGGATGATACTAGCTAATGATTTATACTTTAACATTGCACATGTGGTACATTAGATACAAAACAGTGAATGCTCAGTAAATACTTGTGTTTAGTGATCGTTATTTCTCTGGAACAGGATTTCACAACTTCAGTGCCATTGACATTTTGGTCTCTATAACTCTGCCACCAGCCTCGGTGGCTCAAGCCTTAATCCCAGAACTTTGGGAGGCCAAGGCGGGCGGATCATGAGGTGAGGAGTTTGAGACCAGCTTGACCAACATGGTGAAACTCCATCTCTACTAAACATACAAAAAATTAGCTGGGCGTGGTGGTGGGTACCTATAATCCCAGCTACTTGGTAGGCTGAGGCAGGAGAATTGCTTGAACCTGGGAGGTAGAGGCTGTGGTGAACTGCGAGCGCGCCACTGTATTCCAGCCTGGGTGACAAAGCGAGACTCTGTCTCAAAAAAAAGAAAACAAAACTCTTTGCTGTGGGGGTTTATCTTGTACCCTGGAGGATATTTAGCAGCATCTCTGGCCTCTGCCCACCAGATGCCAGGAGCACACCCACAGTTTTGTCAACCAAAACTGTCTCTGGACATTGCCAAATGTCACCTGAGTACAAAAATCACACCAGTTGAGAACCACTGCTCTCTGATAATTCACTATGATCTGTGTAATAATGTTCACACTAATCTTTGCTAGAGACAAAAAGGATTTGCTATATAATTTTAGTTAACTTTCTACTGGTAAAATTTTAATCATATTTCAAAATGAATAGCAAAGAGGTTTATAATTAAGTTTTATAAAAATTCCAAATCAAGTTTTCTTTGTAACTTACATAGACTGTAAAAATGGTAGTGATTCAAATGTATGTCTTTCAATAGACTGTATTTTATTGCAGGATAAATCTCTAGGAAAAGTAAAAGGAAAATATTGCCTTGATTAGTTATTAGATGTCAAATTAGTATGAATAAATAGCAAGAGTTTAGAATAGTATTGAATACACAGTTTTCATCTAAGCTCTAAACGTTTGGATGTGTATTTAAACTGTCCAGAGCTCCTAACCCTGCCTGTACCTCTCCTGGAGTCTTACCTTCATGGTCTTAATAAATAAAATATACAACTATAGATCTTGATAGACTTTGGGATAAATTATTCCTGAGAGCAGTAGACTTGATTAGATGCCTTTTTGTAGTCTCATCAAATCCCAGATTATGAGCTCAAAGTTTTTATCTCTACATATAGTTTCCAATATTAAAAGGAATAGTTTCACATTTATATACCTTCCTAGTTTAGGTCTGTTTTCCTAAGCCAGTTCAATATCAGAAGAAATAAAAGACATCCTTTCACATCATTTGGAAGGAAGTCAACCCTTTAAAACATAACTTTGAACTAATTCAAATCATATTAACAGAATTTCTATGATATTAATAGAAATTCATTTTTGGCTTTATATTGCTTTAATATTTCATGGAAGCAATTTCTTCAGTTATATAGTGATGGGGCAACAAAAACAACATGGAACTGGATTTTCACTTTTTGAATAAAAACCGGTATAGTCAACACCCATTCTTGACGACAGCTGGCTCTCTTATTTTTATTGATTCCACTTGTCAGCTTGTCCCTCCCTCTTTACTTGGATGGTGTAATGTTGTCTGGCTGATGTCTCCATCTCTGGTCTCTCCCTTCCTAAACTACCCTATACACAGTCATCATATAAACTCTCCAGAAGTGGCTTGCAAAGACCAGCATCTCCTGGGAAATTATTGAAGATGCAAATTCTTGATCCCACTCTAGACGAACTGAATCAGTAATTATGAGGGTGGAGTCCAGAACTGAGTTCTAACGTGCCCTCCCAGTGATTGTGAGGCAGATCTATCTTACAGCACTGCTGTGATAACACGGTTCCCCACGATGGCTCCTGAGCCTGGCATTCAAAGCCCTAGAAGATCTGGCTCCAATTTCCTACTCTCCCTCCTTGTACTCTACAGGTACTCATGGCATTCCTCAAATACACTCCGGTGTTTTGGCCTTCTCCCATTTTCCTTTTGCAAGTTTAGAATATTTTCCCCAAGATGTCTGTCCAATGTTACACAATGGCCCTTCAAAGTCCTATTCAAATGGCATTGTTCTAGCGACACCTTCCTGGGGCCAAATTGAAGTCATTTTCCCCCTCTTCTATGCTCCAGAAACAATTTATCCCTCCTAGTGCCCACATTTATTTCTTCTTTTTAAATGTAGTTATTTTTCATCCCGTTTCTTCCAAGCATAAACTCCTTGAAAGCATGGACTAGGTCTTGTTCATCTGCATTGCCCACCATGTTTAAAACTGACACATGGAAATAAAGCAAACTCAAATATTTGAAAAAAAATGGATAGCTGGGGGAGTGAGTAGTGCGTAGAAGGAAAATGACTATTTTAAAGGAAATGTTGTTTTATTACTTTGTGGCCTCTGTAGCACTTTGGCATCCACTTGAGGGTCTTTATACCCACTTTCCTTAAGCCTTCTACATTTGAAAGAATCTGTTTGCAAAAGAGCATCACCAATGAGCTTAATAAGGATTAATGATATGCACACCTCTGGACCATGGACAGAGGATAAGAATCAAGCTTTCATAGCAGTGAACATAGAATCTTCTCATCTCTAAACAGACAGAAATACTATGCAGTTATCCCTCCCTTGGAAACAGGTTTGAGGAGATAGTTATTTTGTAATTATTGAAGACTTAGGGGCATTTCTGACACACTCACTTAGTGTAAACATTTGTAGTTATACCACTTGACCATCATTTTAAACATCTATTTTAATATAACCATTCCTAAAATGAAATCCTTAATACCAGTCTATTCTCTTGGTCACTTAATATTCTGGATAATATTATTTATATAATTCAGCTGATTTTTTAGTATTTAAATGCTAATTTAATTCAAATTAAATTACCAAAAAATTCTGGATTGATGATGTTCAAATGAATGTAGGTAGTCTATATTTTCTTCTCTTTCAGGCAACAATGTGAAGTTAACTTTAATTCATTTCGTCCTACTAAACCAACTTTCTCAAATCTTTTTTTGGAAAGGTCAGGTAGTAAATATTTCAGGCTTTGTGGGCCACATATGATCTCTGTTGCATATTTCTCTTTGTTTCTTTTCTGTTTCTTTCATAGTCCTTTAAAAATGCAAAAACCGGCCAGGTTCAGTGGTTTACGCCTGTAATCCCAGCACTTTGGAAGGCTGAGGTGGGCGATCATCATGAGATCAGGAGATCAAGACCGTCTGGGCCAACATGGTGAAACCCAGACTCTACTAAAAATGCAAAAAAATTAGCTGGGCGTGGCAGTGCATACCTGTAGTCCCAGCTACTCGGGAGGCTGAGGCAGGAGAATTGCTCGAACCCAGGAGGCAGAGATTGCAGTGAGCCGAGATCGAGCCACTGCACTACAGCCTGGGCGACAGTGTGGGACTCCGTCTCAAAAAAAAAAAAAAAAAAAAGCAAAAACCATTAACTTAATGGGCTATTTAAAAATAGACCCTAGATTAGATTTGATCTCTTGGTTGTAGACTGAATATAAGAAGATGGTATGTGAAAAGTTATAAAACAAGGTTCATATGAGTGCAAATCACTGCTCAGATTCACCATGTGAATTCTTTTCTGTCTGTATTTTGTCTATCTAATTTAAAAATTGAAAATGCATAGGAAATAACTAATGCTACAGACAGGCTAAGACCCTATATAAACTTACAGAATTAAAGAATTTTGTTCCTGGAAGAAATCTTAGAGATTATCTAATTTGATCTCCTTATTCATTTTATAGATAATATGACTAAAAACTCATAAATAGGATTAACTAACTAACTTACAAATACTGGAGGGACAGCAGGCCTTCAAATGAATCCTTATGTAATTCAGTCAAATAATTTTCACTGAGAATTCTGGAAAATGAAAAAGTTATTTCTAGATTAAAATGCAAAGTACAACTATTTGCTACACAGGACTATCTCCTATATGTGGAGGAAAGCTGGGTAATGGTAATTTCAAGATGGTATCTGCTCTGCTTTCATTAAAACCTTTCCTTACATTTTCATTTTTGTGTCCATCTCTCTCCACCACCACCAGCACACACACACATGCACACACACACACAAGCATGCACACACACACAAGCACACCCTACCCACTCTTCCCACCAAATTGGATATTCAATGCCTCCTCTCTAAATCACAAAGTCCCTGTTAGAATCCAACTCTGGGTGGCACCAAGATCAGCAGAACCTCCATTTCCTCCTCTCTTTTCCCAAACCTTATTATGAAAGCCCCACATGGAACTATGTCAGGGCTGCAAGTGAAGCCATTCAACATTTTTCCCCATTAAAAAAATTTGAGAACTACAATATGCATAAAGTACATATAATATAAATGTTGTTTATATTTAATTTCTGAGACAGGGTCTCACTCTGTTGCCCAGACTAGTCTCAAACATCTGGATCAAGTGATCCTCCTGTCTCAGCCTCCCAAAGTGTTGCAATTGCAGATGTGAGCCACCTCACCTGGCCAAATATTCAGTTTAATAATTACAAAGCAGATACCCATGTAACATCGTTAGAAAAGATCACCGCTAGCATCCCAGAAGCCCCCAGTGTGCCCCTTTCCAATCATAAACCTCTCTCTAATCCTTATAGGTAACCAATATCCTGACTTTTGTAATAATTTTCTTGCTTTTAAAATGTAGTTCTGACCTAGCATGGTGGATCATGACTATCATTCCAGCACTTTGGGAAGTCAAGGTGGGTGAATCACCTGAGGTCAGGAGTTCAAGACCAGCCTGGCCAACATGGTGAAACTCTGTCTCTACTAAAAATACAAAAATCAGCTGGGTGTGGTGGCAGGCACCTGTAATTCCAGCCACCTAGGAGGCTGAGGCAGGAGAATTGCTTAAACCTGGGAGGTGGAGGTTAGAGTGAGCTGAGATTGCACCATAGCACTCCAGCCTGGGTGACAAGAATGAAATTCTGTCTCAAAAAATAAATAAATAAGAAATAAAATGTAGTTCTGGCTAGGCATGGTGGCTCACACTTGTAATTCTAGCACTTTGGGAGGCCAAGAAGGGAGGCTTGCTTGAGCTCAGGAGTTCAAGACAAGTCTGAGTAATACAGCAGGACCTCCTCTCTAGAAAAATTTAAAAATTAGTTGGGCATGTTGGCATCACCTATAGTCCCAGCTACTAGAGAGGTTCAGATGGGAGGATCACTTGAGCATGGGAAGTCCAGGCTGCAGTGAGCCGTGTTTGCACCACTGCAGACCCTGTCTCAAAAATAAATAAAATAAAATGAAATGAAATGTATTTTACCTATTATGTGTCAGTCACAAACAACATAGTTTAGCTTTGCCTCTTGAACATTATGTAAATGAAATCATATTATACATATTATTTTCCGTATCACTTCTTTCACTCAATAATCTGTAGTTTTAAGATGTATGTTGCTGAGGCTGGTTCAAGACCTGTGTTGTGCTTCCAATAAAGTAGTCACTAGCTACATTTGGCTAGTGATAGTGGCTAATGCAATATCTTTAGTGGCTAATGAATCTTTAGATAGTGGCTAATGAATCCTTAATTTCAATCATTTTAATTATTTTTAAATTTCAAAGCTGACACTCAATGCAGTTGTTAGAAAATGTATGTTTGCAATAATTTGGGCATATGATGCTACTTTTTCAACTGCAAATTTTATGAAATCTAAATATAGATTAAGGTTTTTTGTTTTTTTTTTAAGATGGGGTTTCACCATATTGGTCAGGCTGGTCTCGAACTCCTGGCCTCAGGTGATCTGCCCACCTCAGCCTCCCAAAGTGCTGGGATTACAGGTGTGAGTGTTTTTGTTTTTGAGATGGAGTTTCGTTCATCAGTCAGGCTAGAGTCCAATGGTGCGATCTTGGCTCACTGCAACCTCCACCTCCTGGGTTCAAGCAATTCTTACACCTCAACCACCCGAGTAGCTGGGATTACGGGTGCCCGCCATCACACCCAGTTAATTTTTGTATTTTTAGAGGAGATGAGGTTTTGCCATATTGGCCAGGCTGGCCTCAAACTTCTGACCTCAGGTGATCCACCTGCCTCAGCTTCCCAGAGTGCTGGGATTACAGGCATGAGCTACCTAGCATCCAGCCAGATTAAGTATTATTAACTTTCTCCCTAGATTTCTCAGTAGAACAGATTAAGTTTTTTTGATAAAAATTTAACAACCAAATTTAGATTTCGGTTAAAAAAAGTTAGTATCGAAAAAAGAATGTAAACTCCACAATTAATTTTTACACTAATTACATGTAGAAATGATACCACTTTGGATATTTTGAAGACTTAGTATGAAAATAGACTATCTCGTTAATAGCATAATGATAACATGTTGAAAGGATAATATTTTGCATACATGGGTGAAATAAAATATACTAATATGTTTCACCTGTTTCCTTTTTAGTTTTATTTTTTAAGTGACTACCAGAAAAGTTAAAATTATGTATGTGGCTTGCATTAGGTTTCTAATGAATAATGCTGCTGTAGAGTATTCCATTGAATGATTATACTGCAATGTACTGATTCATCTACTGTGGATGGATGCTGAGATTTTTCTAATTTTTACTTATTACAAACAATGCTGCTTTGAACATTCTTATACTTGTATCCTGATAACATTTTTGCCTGAGTTTCTCTAGAATGTAATAATAAGGGTACAAAATTGCTTTCCTAAAAAGCTGTGCTATTTCAAGTGGCAGATTGAGAAAATGCCAGGTCTCTACCATCCAACCGCTACCAAATCCCTAAAAATTATAGAACAGAAATAATTTTAAAATCCACAACCTTAGCTCAAAATGTGGAAGCAGTTCTACAAATGCTCCTTTATCAGAAACACTCAGTTATTGGTTGGGGCAGGGTAGTAGGAGAAGCCAGAGGCACATCAATCCCATATCCTTCTTCCTTGGGCCAGGCAGCAAAGAGTGTCTTCCTCCAGGCAGGAACAATTGTCTGAAAGTGGGCAGCGTCCTGTAACCCTGGAGGAAGGGTGTACACTCACTTACTAGCCATCTCCCACACTTTCCTTATTCTCAGAAGACTCCATCTGGAACACTACCCCCAGAGAATCGCACCTCTCCTCTAGAGCTAAAAAGCAGAATTGTCCGGTTCTAGTTTTTTTTCTTTTTTTCCTATCAATAAGATATCAGACAAGAGTGGGGGAAACTATTTTAAAGTGACCATAATTCCTCTTCTTAGATTACTATGATTGTCTTTTTTTGTTTTGTTTTGTTTTTGAGACAGAGTCTTACTCTGTTGCCCAGGCTGGAGTGCAGTGGTGCCATCTTGGCTCACTGCAACCTCCACCTCCCAGGTTCAAGCAATTCTCTTGCCTCAGCTTCCCAAGTAGATGGGATCACAGGCACCCACCACCATGCCTGGCTAATTCATGTATCTTTAGCAGAGATGAGGTTTTGCCATATTGGCCAGGCTAGTCACAAACTCCTGACCTCAGGTGATCCACCCACCTCGGCCACCCAAGGTGCTGGGATTACAGTTGCGAGCCACTGCGCCCAGCATGTGTTTTATTTTTAATTTAGAATTCACGTATGACTTGTCTATATAATATAATTACATTAGTTCAATGTAAGTTGAACTAATGATGTGACACACAAACTCTTGTGAAAAATATCAGTTACTTCTAATGTAAGCATTTTTTCCAAAATCATTTATGTGTCTAAACTAATTCCTTCTATAAATCAGTAAGAAAATAATAAAACAATTCTACAGGAAAATGAACAAAGGACAGAAAGCTCAGAGAAGAAACACAAATGTTCAATAAACATATAAAGGTATTTAATTAAATTTATGAGTAATCAGAAAAATTCAAATTTAGATAGAATCCCTTTTATTCACCCATAACATCAGCAAAAAGTTGGAGAATACCCAGTGGTGAAAAAGTGTGGGGAAATCAATGCTGTCGTATTCTACTGACAACAGAGTAAGTTGGCACAACATTTTTGAGGGCAATTACAATTTTATGTCTGCATAGTCATAAATACCCCATACCCCAACAATTCCATTTCTAGATATTTATTCTACAGGAATGATTTCCCATGTTCACAAAGAAGCATGTGTAGGGATTTCATTGCAGCAATGGACATAACAGGAAAACTAAACGTAATCTAAACATTCATCAATGGGGGAATTATTAAATAAACTATGATGCATCCATACTATGGATTATGCAGGAGTTTAAATGAATGGGGTAACCCTCTAAGTGCTGGGAAGGAAAGAAATCTAAGGCATATCATGAAGTGAAAGGATCAAGTTACAAGATGTTACCACTTTTTAAAAACCACACAACAAATCTATTTTGCTTTATGTAAATATGTATGTAGGCAATGGGAAAAAGTCTGGAAGGATATATACTAAATGCAGGGTAGTGTTACCTCAGGGATGAGGGTGTAGGGCACAAGGAGGGTTTTTGTTACATCTGTTATTTCATTTTTATACATTAAAAATAAAATCATGGGCTGGGGGTGGTGGCTCATGCTTGTAATACCAGCACTTTGGGAGGCCAAGGTGGGAGGATCAGTTGAGCCCAGGAGTTCGAGACCAGCCTAAGCAGCATAGGGAGACCCTGTCTCTACAAAAAATATAAAATTAGGTGGGCGTGCTGGGATGCACTTGTGGTCCAAGATACTTCGGAGACTGAGGTGGGGGATCTCTTGAGCCCGGGAGGCAGAGGCTGCAGTGAACTGTGATTGTGCCACTGTACTCCAGCCTGGGGAACAAAGTAAGACCCTGTCTCTGGAGAAAAAAAAAAAGAAAAGAGAGAGAGGAAAAAAAGGGAATATAATCATGTATTATTTGGATGATAAAAAATAAATTTAAAGAGGCCATAAAATGGCCTCTTACTTTAAAGAGAGTTCACCAAATTTAATTCTAAAATAACCATAGGATTGCAATCAACAGAGGTTGATTTGGGGTATGGAGGGGAAATACCTTTTCTCAGAAGTACAGACCTCAAAATTCTGGACCAAGAAGGATCTTACAATGCAGTTAGTTTTTTTGTCATATTTGGAGAGAATATACTCACAGTTTCTCGGTCCAACGGAATGCCTTCCATACCTTTCCATCAATGTAAGAAATATAGTTTCCTTGGAAATTTCTGTAAAGAAACACAGTTTATATCCTTGAATAGGTAGGAAAAGAATGAACAGGATAAGAAAAAGAATCATGGCAACCTTGTCAGGGATATTCAGTTACAGAAAATAACACCTGCCTTCTAATTTCCAGAGCTATCAGGTTCTCAGTTTGCACAATTAATCAAGAAATAATGTGGGGCCACTGGCACAAATGATGAGGCATCTCCCAAAGCTTAACTTCCTATCCGTCCAATCTCTTAGACAGATGATGCCAGTTAATTACTTTGAATGTAAGTATTTCATACAAAAGCACTTATGTGTCTAAACAACTTCTTCTACAAATCAATACAAAGATGGTAAATAATTCAACAGAAAATGGGCAAAAGCTTATCATTATCAACAAATAAGAAGAAAGAAGCCCTATGCCAGGTAACACCAAAGCTTTGGCCCAGTGCCCTCTGCTGAAACATCCTAGGATTTTTCTTTCCACTTCTATTACAACCGATCTGATTTAGCCCCTTCACACTTTACTCTTAGGTTTTGCTAGACCTTTCTATTTGTCTCCCTGAATTAAGGTTTCTCCTCTAAGGCACTCTACATATGGATTCTAAAATAATCCTTTGCATGTCTACACTTGAACATAAAGCAAAAAACAAAATAAAATAATCTTCCTGTTTTAATCATTTCATCTCTCTTGCTTGGAAACTTTCAATGGCTTTCCATATCTCACTATGTAACTTTCAAATTCCTCTAGCTGATAATCAAGGTTTTACACAATCATATCTTCATTGTTCCCTCATGTGATTCTGTGCAGCAAGATGGGTCTAAATTCCAACCATACCTGTAGCCATGCCTTTGCCTAGACTATACTCCCATTTTTTCTTTTTCTATTTAACAAATTATAGCTACTCTTTAAGACCCAAGTAAAGTTTTAGCTTATCCATGTAGCTTTCCCTGACCTCCACATCTCAAGGATCACATATTCTGGTAAATTCTAGCACCGATGTTCTGCATTATCTTTTAGTACTTAAGTATATATACCTTCCTTTTTATGCCTATTCTCTCCCTTCCTTCCTATCATTTTCATGTTCTGGAGATGGTAGCATACTTGGCCCTGGGTTGGACACAAAACAAGTGCTACAGATAGAAAGCCAGGGACAAAGATGAGTTCTGGACAAAACTAAAGGACTGAGTAATCATGTTAACAACCAACACTCCTACATATGCTAGGCACTGATGCAAGTATTTCATGTATTCACTCACCTGAATTTTGCAACAATCCTGTGAAATGGTAACTAGCATAATCCCCAGTTTAAAGATGAGGAAGGGCCGGGCATGGTGGCTCACGCCTGTAATCTAAACACTTTGGAGGCCAAGGCGGGTGGATCACCTGAGGTCGGGAGTTCAAGACCAGCCTGACCAACATGGTGAAACCCTGTCTTTAAAATAAAAAATAAATAAATAAAGATGAGGAAACTGAATCACAGAGCAGAATAACCTGCTCTGGGTCACCAAGCTAATAAATGATAGACCTGGGTTCAAACCCAGGCAGCCTGGCTCCAGAATCAACTCTTAAGCACTTAGAGCATCATCACTGAGATGGGGAGAGGGACAGGCTGCTGTAAATAGGGTGAAGTGAAAATGGGAGGAGAGCAACAGTTAAGCAATGATGTGATGAGGCTAAATAAAAATAGATAAGAAAACGAGTAAGGGTAAAACACTAGAGTAAAAGTAAAAGACTGGAGAAGGGGCCTAACAGTAAAGGAGAATGAGGAGAAGGAAGAGTGGACAAGCAAAGGTGGGAGCAGAAAGTCAGCTGTCAGTATGGTTTGGGGAGATAAGGAAGGCCCAGGAAGGCCTCCAGGAAAAGTCTGCCATGTCAGGCAGGACACAGAGGACAATGGAGGAAAGGTGATGCTTACAAGATAGTGAAGGTGCCATTGTAGGTGTTGGGCTCTGGCACAGGCACGTGGCGGAGC